TCATGTATACGGTCCGGACCATCTACCACGACAAAAGGTGTCTTAGTACGGGTACGGTTTCTGTCACAATTTAACTGCTTTACTCCTTACCCGATTTTACGTTACTAGACAACCATAAAAACTTTTTATTTTTCATATTTTATACGGAATATGATGGCCAACCGAGATGTGATATCATAAGTTTATATCGTACTTAGTCCAGGTGAAATTTAGTACATACGTCAATGCAAACAAGGATGGAATGTAATATGTATTGTTATTAAAGATAGAAGTTAGTGGAAAGAAGTACAGAGTATCAAGAATAGGTTTTTCACAAAGACATGTAGGAAAATTTGACTAATTGCCGAACACCAAACAAACTTGAGACCGAGTTCGGTAAGGTATTTTAGTGGTGTCTACAATATGTAGTATGAAGAGTCTCAACAAGACTGGAACGCTCAACAAATTTTACAAGATAGTTATCATATGCGGTGGGAGAGACAGATACTTGTTACAAAAATTAAAGGATCCTTCATCTAATACAGACCGAGACAGTGGTACTAAACACGGCCAAAATTAAATTGGTGTCTGGTCGACTTGAAGTATACACACTGAAGTTTTTTATTATGTAATCGCCACAAGTTCTATGGGTTGTAATCAACTACTTGAGCCATGGTGAAATGTTATTCTGATGAGAATATTTCCTACGTATTCCCAAATATTAATCCGTCAACATTTGTGGAAATAATTTAGTAATTAATTCTTGCGTAAATCAACGATTGTCAAAAGTCGTGTGATTTGTATCCGAGTGATAAACCGTTCTACTGATTTCTGAAATGAATCGCTCTTACTGTGGACGGCCACTCGGTGGTTTCTATAGGGTTCCTAACGACCCGAACTACTTTTTTTCAGCGCTTTCCAACGGCAATGTCCGTGGCTGTCTCCTCCTGATTGGTGGAGTTGGCCCAATAGCCGTAGCACCACTTCTGTGACGTCATAGAAGTGTTCAAATCTGGATCAGTCTGTATCAGATCCGTTGCAGCCCCTTTTTAAGAGATTTGGGTATGGAGGAAAAGAGAGAGGGTTGTGTTTTCTGACACTTGGTGAGTTCCCTGGAACACCGGGGACACATATTCATGTAGAAAAGACGTACAAAGGTGCATTTTGCATGATAGGTCACCTTTAAAGGACAATCATTGATCAAGTAAGGGGTGGGAATTAATAAGCATTTGCTTCCTCCTGCTCCCTTTCGGACACACATGATTTATTAATATTATTAATATGAAGACTTTTTTTGTTGAATAATATAAATATTATCATGAATGTGGATGAATACTGTATTTTAACAATACGGTATTATGTTTTTCACATTTGTTATTTTTTTTTTATCTGTTCGAAATAAAGATTGAAATGAAATAAGTCAAACTTTTTCAAGTGGATGGGTATACAGAATTGTATATATTTTGTTGGCTAAGGTAAACCGGTACAGTCAGCTATGGGAGGTATGCAGACTTAATGGCTGCACTATCAATTGAAATTGGATCAAAATCCCAAATGGACTAGTGCAAGAAAACGCAGTAAGCGCAATATTTGGTAAGAGAAAAATATGTAAAAATATGTAAATTAAGTAATGAGGAGCCAGAGAGAAGTCCCGACCGGCAAAGGGTATTCTTCTGACTTAATAAAAACCATTGTTTGGAACATTGTTTGGGACATTTGTATATGTTTTTGAATGCTAATGCTTAATAATGTTTCAAAAACGATAATTCCCTCAACTACGCGAAGCATATCCCAATTGCATTAACAGTTCAAATAATTGCAAGTGGGTATGTGTTCCCAATTGCGCAGCCCTACTAGAATTTCTGCTTTTCCTTTTGAAAAATAAAAAAATGTTTGAACTTGTTTAGCCTTCTTACTTTTCCTTTCTATGTTTTCGTTCCTGTTTTTCTAGCTATAAAAATAAGCCTTTCTTCCCACGGTGCTCTGTGCTGTCCTCAGGTGACGTGGACGACTGGGATCGACTGGAGGTCCGTCAGGGTCGGGCAGGAGTCCAGAACGTTCTGTACCTCGACGACGAAGAGGAGGAAGAGGAAGACGGGGAAGAGGGCGAGCAGGAGGCCAGGAAGGTCACGGTGAGGGGAAAAAAACAGCACACAGCTGTGCTAACCATTGTTGCACAAACATAAACTGTGAATGTTAGAGATTCCTTAGCATTTTACGATTTAAACAGGAAGTAATATAAACCTGCATTCAGGTATGTTCATGTGGCCACTAGGGGACAGCATAACAAGCTGTAAATCTGGAACAGGAAGCGGTTTATTGCCCAGTAGGTTTTCAAGTACAAGGATTTCTGTCTGGGCTGTTAGTGCATAACATAACACTTAGTCAGTACACAAATATGTACTGTATACCTGCTAGTTGAAATACAATAAATATAAAAAGTTGCTTTAAGAATATATAATACAGTATACATCTGAATTTAAATTGAAGAGCTTAGCGCAATTGATAACACTAACAAATCAATGTTTCATTTTATTTTGTAAACTTGATAAACATTTATTCACACCTTCAGCCGGACAGAGTAAAGTCACTTTGAATCAAGAATGAACCTCCCTCCAAAATATGACACTTTGTCCATCATAAAAATTCACACAAAGAAAAACCACTTGTTAATTATGAAAACCACTTTGGGCTATTTTACTATGATATCATTTCTGCTCCAACTCTTAAAATGCACCATTATTTTCCTAGAAAACAAAGCAAAGAGTCTTTTAATTAGAATTAGAATTGGGAGGGATGAAACCCTCTTTAATGGTCACACAGAGCACACAGCACACACAGTGAAATGTGTTCTCTGCTTTTAACCCATCCTAGTACCAGGAGTCTAGTACTAGGAGCAGTGGGCAGCTATTGCACAGCGCCCGGGGAGCAATGCGAGGGGGGGACCGGTCCGGTGCCTGGTGCCTTGCTCAAGGGCACCACGGCAGGGCAGGAGTTGAACTAGGACCTCTCCAAGTAGCAGTCCACACTCCATATTTAGGTCTGGTCGGGGACTTGAACCGGCGACCCTACAGCTCACAGCCCAAGCCCCTTCTGACTGAGCCACTGCCGGACAACCTCATCTAATTTCTCTAAATCATCACTTACCAGCTTTGAAATAAACGTTATATTTATGAATCATTACAACATTCGAGTTGTTGCATGACGCATTTTATTTATTAAAAACTCAGATGAATCTGTCACATAGGCCTATTGTCGATTCATGTGCCGATTTACCTAATTTAGTTAAAACCTTAAGTTCATTTGAAAGTAAGGAATCTCTAAGAAAGATAATTTGTGGACATCTAAACGTTGTTCATTAAATTGTATTAATATCATTAATGTTTTGTTTATTAACTGGTACATGGCGTCCTGTCAGTTTGCAACAGAGTCAAATCCCTGATATAGATAATCTACAGCCTAAATAGATCAGAACTCTTGGTCAATATATTATATATTATTGCTGATATTTCAAATGTTTTTCACAACATAAGTTCAGCAGTTTGCGTCAATATGAAAACCTTCATATTCTGGTGCAACTCCACTGGTGACTGTTTGTTAATATTCGTATCCAACCCCAACTGTTACGACCTTCCAGGAAATCTCTGCTCTCTAATCGCTGACCGCTTTCAAGCTCCAGCTGTTGTTTGTTTGTTATGGTTTTAAATTCTGCGGTTTCCACTTTGTCTCGACTCACCCACACAGTTGTGCAAGTCAAAGCCAGAGGGGAGCGGGTGAGTGAGTGCACGCTGTAATAAAACTATGACAGGGTGAGGATGAAATAAAATAGAGGATTGGTCCATAATAATTCAGGGGGTTAGATTACCCAAAATGCACTGCTCCGCGGGGGAGGGGGAGTTTGATCAAAGTAATGAAGCATGTTGCAGTTCACCCTTCATCTGAGAGTCAATAGCAGTTAAGCCTTTTCTTTTCTTGAGTGGGTGGCACAGTAAATGTTTGATAAGTGACTCTGCGATGTTTCAGTGTGTCGCTGTTTGCGCTCCGTGTCAGCGCTGAAAAGCTTGTTGATGTTCTTTTGAACGGCTGTAAAATGTTTGATCACTCTCATTTAGTAGAGACATGTTCAGTCAACATTGACTTTCTTCCCCCCCCCACTTCAACAACGCAGACACTACACTATCACTTATTTTTTTAAAGATATTTCCTCATTGCACATAATTCCCGCTTACACCCGGAACACCGTGTGCTCTCGAGAGAAGTCTGTCTCATCAGTCATCCTCAGAAGGCATTGAGTGATTACTCCAGTGCTCCTTCAGCGGATTCATGGATTTCATTTTCTTTTTCGTCAACGACATAGAAGCTTTGCAATTCGTTAATTGAAAAAGCAAATGTACAAAAAACGGTCTTAGTACATACAGGGTGTCCGCGGGGTCTTAAAAAGTATTAAAAGTTGATAAATCAAATTACTGAAAATGAAGGCTATTAAAAAGTATTAAACAGCATTTTCCAAGGTATTACATTTTGTAGCTTGTTTTCAATAAGTATATCAATTGTCCAAAGAGGTTGTATTCTACAGTCTGCCTGAATGTAATCATGGCGTAGGTGTGTATTGTGATTCTGTGTAGTTTATTTATGGCATCCCGTTGGATTTGACGTCATCTGAACAGGACATCGCACGCTCACTGCTTGATAGCACGAAGGTCCGTTTACGCTGGTTGTTAAACAACATCGTTATGGGGAAATGCAAGTCTGCGTCCAAATGGTTGGAAGATAAGGAGGAAGGACAATTAATACTGTATATAGTCAATGTGAGGTAAAGTGTGTCGCCAAGGTAACCGGTTAGAACTCAAAGTGGCGATGAGGTCTTAAAATGTATGGAAAGGGTCTTAAAAAAGGTCTTAAAAGGGATTACATCTGACTTCAGGATTCCTGCATTCCCTGTAGCACTAATGGAGTAAATATCACATCAAAAATATTAATAATAATATAAATAAGGTAATAAAAGTACAGACAAAATAATGATTCAATCATTAACTGATTAATATGTTCGGTGCAAAATACAAAGTACAGAAGTGTGCGTGTTTACCATTTTTTGTATACCCTGCCCCCAGAAAACACATTTTTTTTAACAAAACAAACGTATTAGTTCTGCTGAAATTAAAAGTAAAACAAAGAGTAGAATTATCACATAAAAAGTCATAACAAATAATAACAAATAATGTTTAAATGATATGTAGTCGTAGGTTAGACTACTTAAACATTTTCTAACTTATTCTGTAAGTCTTTATATTGTGAACTCTATACTCTATGGATATTTCTCTTTCTATCTTTCTATTGTTTGTACGTGTGTATTTACTGTTGGTTCATTTTAACATATGCAATGTTTTTGACATGCTACATGCTACATGCTACTGGAACAAAAAACTAAAGCAATTTGGCATCAATAAAGTATATCTACTCTAATATAATATAATTAATAACAAATAAATAAATAACAGTACCATCAAAATAGCGTTTTTTTTTCTTTTAATACTTTATTTTGAATTTTTCTTTTAGTTACAATAAAGCAAAGACATACATAATATACAGTAAGTAGGTACCTGAAACCTTTACATGCCGTACAAGAGAGAAAAAAGAAACTGGGTATTACATTGACAATTCCTGAGAATAGTCTAAAGCTGCCAGCATCGTAAACAGCATCAACATAACTTCAAACAAACAATAATAAAAGATATATAGGTTTTTTTATCAGTGTGTTTTTAACTGGTTGTCGCCCCCTTGTGGTACTACAGGTGTTCTTCACTCGGAACGGGAAGCTGATGGGCCGCAGGGAGATGAGGGTCCCTCCCGGGGGTCTGTTCCCCACTGTGGGGATGCTGAGCAGCGGGGAGAAGGTGAAGGTGGACCTGCACCCCCTCAGCGGCTGAGCGGACCCCCACTGTGACGCTCTGCTAACAGCTGGCTGCCCTGCAGAGCTCACACCTAGCCTAGCATGCTGCGAACACTTCAAACACAACGGCGCTGTCTCTGCTTTTATTTATAAGACCTGTACATTGTCTCATCAAAGAATCACAACCGGATCACACACCTGGTTGTACAGTAGCAGAGAAGTCAAACATAAGCTGTGTAGGTTACAGCATGCTGCACCTAAAAGAAAATATATATATTTAATGGTTTATTCTATGCAATCTGTACGGCCATCACCTTCACATCTAACCTCCCTCTGCATGCAGTGTGTCCAACACTGAGCTGTTAACCCCCTCTCATGAGCTCTGTTCATTTCATCTGTCACGACCCAAAGCTAAGCAGAGCCAACTGTTGTGTCGAGTCAGAGCTCAGTTTCAGGGAATACACTCTCCCCTCTCTGTCTCTCCCCCTTCTCTCTCTCTCTCTCCTCCTCCCTCTCTCTGGGTGAGGCTGCCCTCCTGTGAGCGTTCAGGGACCTGCTGCCTCCCGGAGCTTCGCTGGAAGTGAAACCGAGGATCTGTTGCAATATTTCACAAATGCATCCATGCTCATTGTATACGAGCTGATCATTACAGGTTTGGCAATCACAACCTCACATTCAGATGCTGTTAACTGTTTCTAATCGGAGAAGGACTACACTTAAACAAACATGTCAGGTATGTTTTCTACAGGGGCATCTGCAGAATACACATTTCAAATCTTTTACATAAAAAAAGTTCAGGGAATGTGTTTTGTTGTTGCACTTCGGGGAGGCTGAGGACACATTTAAGAATACAGTGAGTGGACAAAACTGAAACGACCCTTGCAGTCTGATGCAACCCCTCAATCATCAGCCATACTATATATCCATATGTAGCTTAATTTATAATCATTACATATAATCAGCTCTGGCTGCTGTGTTGGATTGCATCAAACTGTAATGTGTTACTTTGGGTTTTGACAGTCCTCAGTGCATGCAAAGGATTATTTCCTGTCTCACTTTTCCTTTTCTGTTTTTCTAACCATAAAGTTAGGCTAATATTTTACCGTTAAGTTTACAAGAAGAGATCCTCCCAAATGAATTTCTTACTTTAGTAGTCAGAGGATGATTTCTGTGATAACATTATGTGATGAAGAGTTAACTTAAGGATGAAGATGATTAGTGGTTGCTGCATGTTTGTGTTTGTGTGTCTGCACATCATCATCATCATCATCATCATCATCAACAACAGCAGCACCAGAGGTTTGCATCACAAAGACGGATCAGATCAGAGACTCTGGTTTTATGCTGACTCACTTCAAGCTGTGTTGGATCACTATGGTAACCATGCAAAAGCATAGGACTGCAACAATCGTTTTTCGTTATTAAATATTCAGTGCCAACATTTTCTTGATTGTTTAGTCTTTAAGATGTCATGTGGAATATTTAGAAATCATAATTATAGATTTGAAAATAAACAAATATTCTAAATTCTTCTTCCCTAAAAACTTCAGCCCACATTTCCCACAATGCAACTCGACAAACACCAAAGCCTCAAGCTTTTTTTTTTCTGCGTCACACGGCTGTATCGGTGTCTTCCAACCTACAGTTTAACGACAATTCTTCATGGCAGATGTAAACCAGTGTTAACTGTGAATGTATTATTTTACGGTTTTATTTTTAATGATGAAATACTTTAAATTAAATCTGTTTACCACACCATGTTCTATATGTGAGCTCCCGCGTTTCTCCTCTTAGTATATAATAGTTATAATTGTATACGACGGTTAATTCTTAAACGGTCTGCCATTAAACAGTCTGGGGAGCAGCAATGCATTCTGGGGCGGTCAATTATGTACAGTTAACTTCCATCTTAAACTAAAATGTTTTCTAATAAAGTCAACATCAGGAATGTACACACAATCCACGTTAGAACGCCACACTTGGTATAAAAAAAAAGTACATTAGTTGCAGTTTTGAACACAGCCACAGATTTATTTCATGTCCTAACGTAAAGCTAGTCCCAAACCAACCCACTACTACAAAGGGGGGTACATTCCAACCTTTTATTTAACATACTAGTCCTCTCAGATACCTGAAAACAGACTTGGATGTTTAACTCTTGTTGAATCACTCATAACTGGATTAGTAAAAAAAAAACGGTTATTCTTCTTTTAGGCTGAACTGGATTTGTGATACAGACTTCAGCAATCTGTGCACGTGAATGAGAACTACTTTGTTGTATTGTGTCAGTGGGAGCTGGTTTCCACACAAATTATAAACATTATATTGTATATAATCTTCCCCACATCTGTGTTTGTTCATCACAACATCAGCAGCCCTGCAACATAAACTACATTCCTATAAAGGTGCAAACTGCAGGGTTCAGCTTTCATTCTGCAGACAGTCGTGCTAGGAATAACGCTATGTAAAATGACTTCAAAGGGTTACGTTTTAAATCACATATCTGCTGGAGACCATGTTTGTGATCAGCTGTTATGCATCTTGTTTTAGAGCCATTCATGATGTAAATGTAAATCACTAGGTTGTCCTCCTCCTGCAGGGCTGGATAGAGACTTATGCTAGTCAGTGCAAAAACATTAATGAGACACTTCAGGGTATTAAAGTCACTTATTGTAACGTTTACTCAGAATCTCAGTTAAATCTGGTTTTAAATGTTTGTAGCGTCTCTTTACTCGTGTGATAACTCCTCGCCTCGTTGACTTGCACTTTGAAGACCTTGTTCAGTTCATGTTTGATCATCAATAAAGGTTTCAGTAATGTAATTTGTTTTATTTGAAATGTACTTTTGAATCCAGCATTTGTGTCCTTGTGACTGGGGATTGGTAAACTTTAACAACAAAACACTTTGTGCCGTTCAGTGACATGTTAACTTTTTCATAGGGACTTCAGTACATCTGTAATTGAACGCCTCAGCACTGATGGTCTTCAGTTCAGCTGAATACACATTTAATTTACTCGGATCATCTCAGTAAAGATGGCCTCTAAGAAATAAGTGGTAAGTTCAGTGTGTTCCTGCTTCATAGAGTTAAATGTCTCAAGTATTTGTCATGATAGTACATTCAGTCCTCAGATGATGAAACAATGTCCCTGACACACTCCAGCGCCCAAAGCAAGTCACATTTTTTTTTTTTTATTCAATGCAGTTTACGACCCAATAAAATCCTGCATAACAAATCCCCTGACCATCAATCTGTTTTTTGCTAATTAGTAAATGTTAGCAAGCTGCCAGCTAAAGTAAGACTTTGAACATGTTAAACATTAAACCTGCGTGTGTGGGAGAGAAACTCTGGGATCTTAGCCTTTGCAGACCATTTACATGCAACTAAACTATATAAAACACTACAGGACAAAGGAACAAAAAAAACTCACAATAGGGCCTGATTTTAAAACTGATTTAAGTCACCATAGCTATATAAAAGTCCTCCTATCCTGGTGAACAACAACTCAAGACGAAACATTTTGTATATAACAATTTATTTAAACAGTAGTAATCTAGGATATTTGGTCCCCTGGTTTTTAAAAAAAACAGTACAACATCATTCAAATCCAGTTATAACTCTTGAATTGTAAAACAAAAAGGTGTTTGAGTTTAACATGTACATAAAGAATAGAAAGTGACAAAGATGTTTTCTTCACAGAAACTGGTAACAGATCAAAGTGCGGGGCTGGCTTTTCTAAAACAGTGGCTTCTTTTGGATTTATTATTAAAAAGGGACTCCGTTTAGAAGCTACGTTAGCTGTAACAATCCCACATCACGGTATAATAACAGGCTCACATCGTTGGTACTTCAACAGCAGTTTCAATCCAGATTAAGAGGCATCTAATGAGAATAGAAAATTACACAAAAATAGTTCTGTGTGATAACTATTGGACATTCTGGGATAAAAATATTCATTACATGGGGCGTGAGTTTAAATATTTGACATTTAAAAACAAACGATGTCCGAGCGACAGTGTTGTAAAAACATTCTTGTAGGAATGGCTTTAAAGGTTTCAGAAAGAGGCACAAAGAGTTCAGTAGAGTTCACACAGCAACGCTCTTTTAGGAAGAGAAGAAGAAAACGTCTAGAAGAAGAAGAAGAAGGAAAGTCCTCCGAGTGTCCACTGCTGCCATTTTATACATCCTCCGCGTCCTCTTCCTCCTCGTAGTATCGGTTTCTCTTGATCATATCCTCCACAGTCAGCCCCTCCTCTTCCTCCTGCACCTCCTCCTTATGCTCCGCCTCCTCCTTATGCTCCGCCTCCTCCTCCTTATGCTCCGCCTCCTCGCTGTCCCAGAACCCGACATCCTGAGAGGAGCGACTGGCCTCCACCTCTCCTTCAGGAGACGAGATCATCTCCTCCCGTTTCTGAGGCGTCATCTCCTCCTCCTCCTCTTCCTCCTCTTCCTCCTCCATCACATCCTCCTCTTCCTCCATCTTCTCCTCTTCCTCAGGTTCTTCTTCCGGGGTGTCCTCCTCCTCTCTGGTGAGATTCTGCTCCGGCATGTTTTCAGCCTCCTCCTCCTCTTCTCCTCCTGAGCTGATGAGGCCCTCCTCAGCGGGGGGGTGACCTCCATCATGCAGCTCCATGCTTGCAGGTTCAGGACTCAGATCTCCGTTGTCTCCAAGAGGAAGAGGAGGAGGAGGAGGACTCGTCTTCCTCACCTCTGGAGTTTGTCCTGCCAGGGTGAAGGGCATGCTGCGCTCCTTCAGGGAGGAGGTGCGGCGCAGACAAGGGGCCTCTTTGGGCTGCTCAGGAACTGAACCCTCCTCTGGGGGCCACTTTGCTTTGACAGACTTCCCTGGGGACCCCTCCTCTGTGGCGGCTCCACTGCGGCCGCTCGACTCCTCCTGCTCCGTGCGAGGAGGCCAGGAGATCTTCAGCCGGCGGGCCTCCGGGGGTCTGTCGGACTTCTCCCCCGCCCCCTGCCCCAGAGCCTCCATGGTGGCCGTCAGCACGTTGACTTTAGCCAGCGGGGAGTCCTCCACGCTGGGGCGCTCCTCTTCCTCCTCCTCATCCTCCGGGCTCAGGGTCTTGGCTTTGGGCTGAGGGGAGGTCTCGGCGCTCTCCACTTTGCTCTCCCACAGCTCCTTGTGGGGCCGGTGGCCGAAGCCCTCGTCGTAGTTTCCTTTGGCCTTGAAGAGCTGGGAGAAGTGCGGCTTGCAGTAGACGTTGTTGTGCAGCGAGGCGTAGTTCAACAAACTAACCAGGAGGGGGAGATAGAAAAGAAGCCGTGATTAGAGGATACAAAAAGCTGCTATGACCTCCATCAAACAATACATTTGTGTAGTTCTGTGGCCTTTGTGAATCTGAGACAAGTCTTTAAAACATCAGACAAACTGATTCAGGCAGCAGCAAATCAGCAACAATCAGTGTCCCGATTTAACATTTACTTTCTAGGAAGTGCAAACGAAAATGTCAGCAAATCTGTTTCACTTACAACTAAGCCAAAAGTCAAAAGTACCCAATGTTTTGGGCTGATAAGTGGACACTATATATTTTACAGTTATATTCAATGTAATATTGAATAATCAATTTCTTGCACAATTAATCAATATCCTGCATTATATTTTGTTACTGGAAATTCTTATTCCGACATGTATATTTTGTAACTTTTGCCAATGCCAAATAATTTTTATTTCAGAAATATTTTGGATTGTTTATTTCTAGTGCCTTCATTTCTCTTATTGCCTTGTTTTTCATGATGCTGCAACACAAACATTTCCCACATTTGGATCAACAAAGTACTCCATCCCATTTTTTCAGAGATTAGACATGTTGGAATCAAAGCAGGGCCACTGAGGGAAGTGGACATTTTTAAATGGTCTGTACACTCCATCAGTGTAATAATATGAGCTCTGTCTCTTTTCAGAAACTGTCTGTGTGAGTGAGTGAGTGAGTGAGTGAGTGAGTGAGTGAGTATGTCTAACCTGAGTTTGGTGCTGCAGTGTGAGCAGCGGAAGCAGGAGCTGTGGTAAACGTGCTGATTGGCCACGAGTCTCTCCAGAGGATACACCGTCTTCAGGCACGTCACACACGTCTCCCTCACAGGCAGCCGGAAGTTCTACACACACACAGTCAATTTAATTCATTCACACATTTGATTGAGCTGACTTACAAAAAGTGTTCTCAATCATCAGGACACTCATTCAGAATGGCTTTAAATCAGCCAAACCATTTAACATTCAAATACATTTTTCAGTCACAAAGGTAGTTTCCTGTGAGGACTCACTTTGGGGGTCTTGGGCTGAGCGGAGGATACAGGAGTGCCGTTGGTGGAGCCTGTTGGGTTATTTAAAAAAAACTAGTATGAAGAAAAGGAGTGGACAAGTTGTAACCACTAGATGGAGCTGAATTCATGTTTCATACAATTATAGATTACACATACAATGACATGTGTATTACACTTAGATACTCAAGAGCCCCCTTTGAAACAGCTTTTCGGCCATTGCAAAACATGTTTGGTAGAAAGAACGATCCTATATTAAAAGAGGAACGATGCAGTGCTGCAAATGCCTGATGCTACATTTCTTATGTTAGAATACATGAATAAATTATCTGCAAACCAATTTTTTTTACCAACATAACATTGATGTTTCGGGCTTACAACTCGTCGCTCATTTCTGCCTACAAAACATGCCAACTAACTGGGAGGATTGCAGCTTTCCAGGTCAATCTTATTTTGAAAAAACCAGAATGGACGGTTTATTTTTTTTGCTCGGTTTTTCTTTGCTTTATCATTTCTTTTCATTTAATATTGAAACTGGCTTCCATGGAAGTGGACAGTTTACCTCTGTTAACAATTACATTGAAAAAAGTACGATTTAATGAGTTTTATCTAATTTAAATGTTTTTAATTAAACTTAATATTGTAGAATTATTTTAGCAATTGAGCATGACCATTATATTTTAAATTATAAAATGTTTTAACATCTCACATACCTACTGCAGTACTTCAAAGTACTCATGACCTCATTTCAGAAACACTGTAGTTGTTAAATTAATTATAAATAACTCAGATTTCTGGCATTTTTGAAACACTCTTACAGACTGGATTCTTTGTATTAATCTACTTAAGACGCATAAAATCCATTAACTCCACAAACATCTGCTGTAATGACTGAGCGATTGCCAAGTTCTCATTAGGGGAGAATTCCTATGATCTGAGGTCAGATCAAGACAGGAAAGTGAATTACCGTTGCTCTCGGAGGTAAAAGCTTTCCTGCCGTTTGCCTCGCACTCCAAACTCTGTAACAAGGGAAAGAAAGGAAGATTATAAAAGAGGGCAAAGCAATCACATGTTACAGGAATTACAGACATGCACTGAAACACCCACCATGTCTGAAATATTACGTTTTTAATAATCAAATTATTTTTAATAAGTCTCCTCACCAAGTCCAGAGAGCACGGAGGAACGTTCTCCTTCTGCTTTCCAGAGAAACTGTCCTGCTGATCACCCTGAGAGAATCACAAAGAAAACATTTTAACTTTAAAAGATCACAAACCCATCCTTTAAGCTGTATTAAAAAAAAGAAAGAAGTAAAATTTAACAAACAAGAAAATTGCCTAAAATTACTGAATATAAATAAAATATAAAACTAATACATTTCAATAAGGCTGAAAATAACTAAATAAAAAAGAAATACACTTAAAAAAGGAACTACATATCAAAATAAGGCTATGAAGATCAATGAGTGTCCCTTTAATAAATCAGTTGGCATTGGTGAACAGACACTCAAGTACATATCTTTTTTACTGCACAATGTAAGCTTTTATTTGTTGTACTTTAAGTTAATTTGGATGCTGATACTTTTACATAACTAGAAGTACCGAGTATGAAACATTTCTCCAGTAAAGATAACTAATGAAATGCATTTTGTTTTGTCTGATTGACAGGAGTACTCACACTGACAGAGGAGGGCGTGACTTCCTGTTTGGAGATGGCCGCCTGATAAAGAGCCATCCTGTCCCGGAGAGGCGCGGACTCTGCAAGACTTCCATCTGATACAAAAACACAAAACTGACGAGGTAAAACTGATGCCAACGTTTCAAACTTTATCAACACATAATCACACCGAAGCAAAACAAAACGTGATGTTTTATACATCACGGTTGACCTCGTTTGAAGCCGATTTTTTTCAAACTGGTTAGAAAACGTCAGGAACACATTTAGTTAAAACAGCATCTTAACTTTAACGTGATTTTTTGATGGATTCTGAGGCCCAATCAGATAGGGGATACAGGGTCCCATGTTTATGCTTAGACCAGTGCTACTCAACGTGTGGTCCGCGGACCACTGGTGGTCCTCACTACGCGTATTCTGAGACAGACTTAGTAATGGCACGACAAAAAGTCCAGAAGTTGGAGTGTGTAGACAAAAAGAAAAGATAGCACAGTTTAGAAAGTGTTGAGACTGGACGACGTCGGACGTCTAGACTCGACAGTCCTGCGTCTCCCGTCGAGTCCGCATTCTGACCTTTATGGTGTTTTGTGACTTGTCACCCACTTCTCTTAACCTACCGTGAATTTCAATGGTTATGTGTTTGAAGTGATTTCTGTATTTACGTTAATAATTGGGCAGTTTCAATTGTGAACCGTCGTATAACGAAATCAAACCGCTTCTTAATTAAATCAAACAAACATTATTTCCTTCTACTATTAAGCCCTAGTTGTCAGAGGTTAGTTAGTTCGTCATTACGAACCGTTTGATGAAAAAGTACATCAACATTGTGGTGTGAGTGTGGAGCGGGGGAGAGTAAGTCTTTTTCGAAAAATTTTACTGAGAGTCGAGATTATACGTTGAGATTACCATATGGAAATTGAATTCATAGGACCTCACATATCAAACGTCATTTTGGGGTGAAAACTATGAAAATCATAATACAGATAGTCATATTTTGTAGAAATGATTGTCATTCTAAAATATAATTATTTTGAAATGGGCACTTCCTCGCATGAACGGTAGCACACGATAAGTTGGTGACGCGGCCGGTGACTAGTCAAAAGTGTTTTTCCCACTTTTGACAAACTTGGAAAACATGTAAAGGCCACCACTTAGACACACTGCGTCGCACTTCCTAGACTCTACGAAAGGAGGTCCGTCGGACTTCCGATCTTACTCAAACTTCCGGCAGTAACTAAATAGCACATTAGAGATGGCATCCTACACGACCGGGAGACAACCGTGCCGAGCAGCCCTCCTCCTAAGAAATGCGGGGTCGGGAAGACTCTACAACTGCGTGAACTTATGATTGTTGTTTTGTTACGTACGGGAAAGTAAACGTTATTATTTCGAGAGGATAAGTACAAGACATTCCCTAAGTTACCAACGCTAGAATGTAAAACTTACTACGTTTAGAAGTCTCTAACTGTCCTGTGTGTGGGTACTCAAACTTCTTCCTTTTTTAAGACGAAATTAGACAGAAATATCTGAGAGTCCACATAATTACCCTCCAGACCTTGATGTTGTCTACTCAAATCTCAAAACAAAAGAACGACAACAACGTCGCGCTCTGGCCACAACGACAGACTCCGGGAGGCAGGAAAACGCTCGCGAGTATTCCCCTAATTTGCACCACACCCACTGTCGTGTGTGGTGTGTGTGTGCAAGAAGGAGATGTGAGACTAGAAGGACTACTAGCCACAAATAGTCGGCCCAACCGAGGTGGCGACTTTGTACGACTCGACCGAGTCCCCTCACGCACAGTGCGTTTGAATCACCACCCAACAAACCTCCAGCTACGCGCGTCCTGCGTAACCTCGACGAAAAAAACAGGGAAATGAATGAAAATTTGTAGGAAACCAGACTGTCCACACACATACAAAACGAAGCAACAAACAAAGCAAGAGCGTCCCCTTAGGGTCTCTCGCTCGGCTCTCTCCGTTCGCTAGCCATTGTGGGCGGGTTGTACCTGGCGCCTGCGATGAGTCCTCCATGTGTAAGACGTGTGAAAAGAAGATTATCTAAGAAACCCGTAAAGTACATGCACACACGGAGTATAAAAATAAAGAAAAAAAATCCATTTTTCTCTTCCTTTATTTACATCTGCCTTTCGATCTACCCCTTTTGTCACGCTTTTTACAGGGAAAGGTCGAAGTTTGGCCTTTGTACATGCGGACAAGTTGTTTATGTTTATTTACGTTCTAACTAAATAAACAATGAACCTAGAACAGAACCAAGGATAAAGAATATTCGACGATTTACGGGAATACAATTGCGTCTACATACGATGACAGTCCGAGACTCGTCCAACACATGTCACTCAAATAATTTCACGCGTTTTTGAAACCGGTTTTTGTTGTCTCCCGAGTACTCTCACCTGACTTGGACACATTTCTATATGCGAAATTTTGGTTTTATTACCTCGATTTTGCTACGATGTTTGTAGCTTTATCGGCGTCGAGTTTGTACCGAAAAGGCACCTTTTGTTCGTACGCGGCTGTTTTTTTGCACCTAACCGCCGACTTTTATTTCTTTTCTTTCCGACTCTTGTAAAATATTATTTTTCCGAGAAAGGACACTATTACGAGATTCAACTGACTGGTAACAATTGTTACCGGTTATCCCAACCTAAATATCGATGAAAATTTTTTTTGTTCTGATATCTCTGCCTTTCCTATATATATTATTGTGTCAGGCTGTTTATGATGGGGACTTACTGAGAGTGTAAGGGGTTTCGGAAGTAGACGGTGTGTGTAACAATCCGAAGAGTCAAAGAAGTTGTTTTGTCTGCGGCAGCAGCGGCGGAGAGGAGCCGCTACGCTAATGTAGGAACGGGTCCTCCCACTGCGCCGACGTGTTTGAAGACCAGTCGACGGTCTCTCGTGTCCTTCACTCCGTCTGGGGGGGGACGTGTGACCGTGGGGTGAGGGGTGACGACTGGAGTACAGAGGAGCAGGTGTCGGACCGTACTGATTGTACCGCTTGGCCCTACCCAACCTTCACATCTAGCGGACGTTGTCTTTGTATAATAGAGAAGTGTATTCTCTTATGAAATCCACAGCCTTAGTTCAACTGTAAGAAAATGACGCCTCCTAGTGAGTGCGTCCGAGATCAACAATTTGTCACTTATGCCTCTCCTACCGTATTAATTCGTGTGGCCGTTGGTTCGTAAATTACCCTCGTAGATTTAGGTTGACTGTTCTGTTCAGTTACAAATGCTATCAACGAGTGTGAAACTAGACCCTAAATTCGAGGGGTAAATGTCACCTCACGGACCACCGTGTTCTCCCGAACTCAGGTTCGGTCACGCAAAGCAGTTTGAAAAAGTATGGGTTTCGCCCTGTGAATTGGTTATTCCTCTCTTGTGAGTGTGCCTGGTGCGATTGTTGATTCCTTAGCAAAAAGATGCTTTCCTTTTCAATGTTCTAGCGCGACTTTTACTAGTGTGTCTTGTCACCGTTGTACACCACTCACTTCCACAACGTGACCCGATATTAGTAATGCGTTGAACCTTTACATTGAATTTCGAAGAGCGAGTGTAACGTCTCTGCATGGAAGGGGGCGCTCTCACGCCTTTTGGAACTTTAAGTAAATAAAGGTTTACACTGTAAAATTGGTTATATGAGTGCCCTGGTGAT